CCCTAGATTTTCTAGGTATTGAAAGATATATTAACAAAAACAAATGTCTAATTAATATTATAAAAGACAAGTAAAAATCAAAGGGATTGTGGAAAATCATATCCATGCTGGTAATTAATTAAGATGTGAGAAACAATGATAAAAAAGATCTAAATATTTTTAACAAATTAATTTATAAAAAATTTATTAAAGATATTTAAATAATTTTATAAATAATTTTAATATTTTAAATATTAAAATATCTTAATTTTTATTTTTCTCAAAATCAAAACATTCTGATTTTTTTAACTTATGCGCTATCCATTTTATCATTGTGATTAAAGTTCTAAAATTTTTAATATCAAAAAGTCATGATTTTCCAATTCCTCATATTATAAATTGCACTTTTTTCAAGCCATACAATTATTTGAAGGGAGAATCCCACTTTTGCCTTTTTTTTCTTTTGTTTTCTTCTTGCCCATCGCAATCTTAATTCTTCCCTACATTTTTTTTATTATTATATCGGTGAAGTGCCTTATTAAATAACTATTGAAAATGCCAATGAGAGGTTGAATAAAGTGGCAAGCGGCTTATTCCAGTTTAAGCAAAGTCTCGAGTTCGAAATCTTGTGTACGCAGTAACTTTCGTTTAGAGATTCACTCACTTTTTTGGTACGTCATAGCTGATCGAATCCGAAGTAGTCAAAGCAAAATCCCGGATACCGGACGAGAAAAAAAAAAAAAACTATTGAAAATAGTTCATTCCCTGCTAACCACTTTGAATCTTTTGCATGTTAATAAAGAAATAAATTTGAAAATTTGACCAATGATGGCATGTAGTGCAAATATTTCAATCCAAACATAAGGGGTATAGTAAAACTGGCTCGACAATTCTTGAAGACTTCCATATTGGCAGCTGTGCAATGTTGTAAGCGATTGGTGATTTTTGTCTCTCTCTCTTTTTTTTTTTTTTTTTTTTCTTTTGATGAATAAAAAATGTACCTTTATAAAAGAACAATGAGAAAATAATTTGTTATAAATATTTTAGCCTCAACATAGATGGTTTATTTTTAGTCAGATTGATATAAATTAGTTCAAAAACATTTTGACCACTAAAACAAACGAAGAAATAAAAAAAAAAAAAGAAAAATAAAACAAGTGTATCTAAACATTTGTACAAACAAATCCCACGATGTGTGCAAATCATTCCAGCTACAAACAAACACAGGTAAAACTCCACCAAATGGTGGTGAGCATGGCCCGTTGGAATTAATGACTTTTGCCTCTTGTCGACGTCAAACCACCCCACATCCTCATGGAAAAAGTGAAAGAGGGGAAGAGAAAGAAAAGGAAGAGTAGAAGAACATCATTCGTTGTCTGAAAGTTTGATGACCGAAACCGTATGCTGTGCCTTGAGTAGTTTATTATTGTTTGCCATTGTTTTCCCGTGTGTTTCCCTGCTAGTTGACCATATTTGTAAATACTTTTGTTATTGAGCATTTTCATTTTTACAAGCAGATGAACTGATTACACAGAGAGAAGTTAAAATATCAAACTTGCTTAACAGAGATTTTTTTTGTTTTTGCTCTCAAACTCCAACATCATGATTCATTACTCATTTTATTGATATCAATAAGCAAGAGCTTATTATAATTTAAAGGGAGAAAGGTTTGAGTTGCCATCCAGACCTCTGGACTTGAAATAGTTCATAAATTCAGAAAGATGAGTTGCCCTGTATCTAGGTGGATTTTTTTCTGTTAGAAGCTCCTTTGCTGGTGCATATTGTGTGAACCCGTTTGTTGAACTTGGATAAAATAAGCATGCAACTGATACTCTTGGTTCCCCTCCCACTAACACCCTGTGCTCCACACTTCTGAATTTGTCATTGCTGATGAGCTACAAGATACAGTAAAAAAAAAAAAAAAATCCAAACTGTCACGTTAGAAAAGGGGAGTGTCACAACAATGATTCTGATGAGAGTTCACCTGGATGAAGTCACCAATGTTTATTACTAGGGCGCCCTGAAGAGAAGGCACATCAACCCAGTGATTTTGATGAAGAACTTGGAGGCCTCCAACACTGTCTTGGAGGAGTATGGTTAGAAATGAAGGATCTGAATGCTTTGTTGCACCCAGTGTTAAGTCTGGCTCAGGACAAGCTGGATAGTAGTGGCACAACAATGATTCGGTTTCCATGCATCCTATGCTGTCAAGGTAGTCATTCTGAAGCCCTAAAGCCTCTGATAGTAGTTCAGCTAATGTCTTTTTCAGTGTTATCATGTGTTCGATGTATTCACTTACTACTTGCCTGCAAAAGTCATTGAAAATCAAGTCTTTGCATGTCTAGTTGTTCGGTTTGTTATTCTAAAGTATTTCCTTATAATACCTGCATACTTCAGGAATCAGTTCCTTGTCTAGTTGGCTGTCCTGGAAATTAAATGCCAATGTGTCCCTCCAATTTGCAGCATCTTTGTTCACAAGGAGATCTCCATTGCAGAAATACCTTACAAGTTGCTTGCTATCACGCGAGTACCATTCTGCCCTCACTTCCTTTGGTTGCTCATGGAATCGGTGTACCCCTTTGAGCATCTCATCCAGAAGGCAAACTGGCACTCCATGGTGAACCACTTGAAAGAAACCCCACATCTCGGATGCTGCACGCATTCTATCTATGATCTCTGCCCTTCGACAACCTTCAAAACCTTCCAAATCTATCACTGGAACTTGCAGGCAAGCATTACTTGTATCCCTTGAATTTTGCAGGCTTTCCTGGGGATGGATGAAAAACTTGGGAATCTTCAACACCCCAGAATCCACCAAACCTTTAACCCCAGTTTTAGTCTCATCAAATTCCTTCACTTCCTTGGCTCTGTCATAACGTTGAACCTTATCAGAATTGAATTCTCTGACTTCAGGTATCACTTCCATATCAACAATGTATGGTACACAATTCAGTTGATAGATTTGAGTGTAATTGGGATGAGAATGAAGATGCTTTCACTGAATGCGTTTATAAATAATACTTAGCTTTAAATTGGCAATTCATGCATAGTAGGCTAGTAGGGAATAGAATGAAGATGCATAGAAGGTTAAAATGAATGAACAGAAACAGATGCCCTTTCATATTATAAAATGCACAAAGAAGAAAATAACACAATCAGTTGAGGACAGAAAGATACCCACTTTTGGCCTTTTTTCCCCGTCCCATCACATTCTTGATAATTTCTTGATTGGCAGAGCACAGTAGGTGTCTTGTTCCTATTGCTTGGTCTTCCTGTCTTCATCATTTGCAGAAAATCGTGGAAGATATTGATCTAATCAGAGAAACAGAACCTAATTAGCTGAACCTGACTAGAGAGACAAGAAAACATTATTTTCTTTTGATACTGGTGCAACTTGCAATTGAAGATAAATAAAAATTGTTAGGCCTTAGGCCAATAACATAAAGCATAACCATCCATTCTTGGTGTCAACTTTAGCACAGAAAACAGAAGAAATGATAAATTCAAGAGCGAATATGAGAAAAAAAACACTCTTTATCAACAGTTCACATCAGTATCAATAATTAAAGTAAATGATTCCTGGGGATTAATATAATTTATAATCTTTGGACCCCCCCCCATGACCTAAGTACTTCTTTCTCATTCACTGGTTTATATCCTCGATAGCAAAGAGTAAAACAACGCTCGAATTCTACCCTTTTTTGGTTAAAATCCTTCCAAGATGAGCAGAGCAAGCTTATGACAAAAGAATGAGAACATTTCAAGCACTATTGGAATAATCAATTAAGAAAATAGAAGACATTTTAGATTCATTTGAAGAAAAGAAAATACAATATATCCCCATGAAATATATGGGGTTGAGTTTCCAAAATCATACAGGGGTTGAACGAGAAAATTGCATCTAGATCATACATGTCAGGTCCAGTGCTATTAGCACGGTACAAAAGAGTTTGATAAACAGATCCAAAACCAATCCTCGTATGCTTTCACTAATGAAAGATGTTCAAGCAATCGATAACCTATTCTTTTTTCTAACTGGTCTTGGTCTTTAGGACCTTCTTCTTGGGCTGTCTCCTTGGCATTGAGTTCTTCATCCCAATAAAGAACAGCAGAGCACCAAATAGAGCCATATTCTGTAGTAACATAAAAACAGATCAAGAACACAAAGAGTATTTTGATATATTTGAAATGACAGCCTTTTTCTTAAAAAAAAAAATATATGTCAAAACCAGAGATGTCTAAACCTGTGTAAATTTGATAAAAAGTTGATAGAATTCTTTGTCCTCATTGTCATGGTTGTAGAAATCGCATAAAATTGGGGTGGCAATCATCTGATAAAGAAGCTGCATGACAAATAGGGCATCTCATCATGAAATGAATGAGTTACATGTAAACATAAAGTACAGTTTATACATTAAACTCAAACAATAATCCAAATGAACCAAATTGTCAGTACCAACCAGGAGGTACGCTCCAAGAGAGATTCCAAAGATGAAAAGAAGACCTCCAATGCCCTTGAAAGCTATACCTGCAGCAACTAGGTGTTTCATCTGCTCAAATGCAATCAAAATTGGTGGTTACCATCAGAGCAACAATGCATAACAGTAATAGCACTAAATTTCAAAGATAGGTGCTGGAGAGAGAGATCTTACTTCAACTTGTGGCAACTGAATGCCTACATTAGAGTGTACATGACTTGCAAAGACATTGAACTTTGGTCCAAGAGCTTTTGCTGCTGGACCTCCATTTACTCCAAATTCATTGAATCTACAGGAAGGAACACACAATGTAAAATGTTATAAAATGGATAATTGAAGAAAGAAAATACTAACTAGCTCAGGACTACAGCTCTACAAGAAGAGAGCCTTTTCTTTTGTTCAGGATTTTGAAGGTTACATGTTTGATCAAAGGAAGTTGCCTAAACCTTGTACACAAACAAATAAGGTTGACATGCATGACATTGTAAGTACAATGGGCAGATTTCAATGGGACTACTAAATCACATTAACAAATCTTTTTGTAAAAGATAAAGCATGCATGGGCCATGGTAATCCAACTTCAGATAAGAATCATAGGATTCAACAGAAGTTTTGTAGAAGTTAGAATTGTTTTTCCATGGAAGAATAAAATACTGTTTTTTTTTTTTTTTGTACATTTGATGATGGGCTATACAAGAGGGGATGGCCATCCCCTTTCCCAAAACCCTCCTCATCCGACTCAAGGTTCAAACCTAAGATCTCAAACTTGGAATCTTAGGCTCTTAAGCAATTGAGCCACCCTTGGGGTTAGAAGAAAATATTGCTGATATAAGCTTCTCAAAACTTGACAGCAGGTTTACAGATTCTGTCTCAGCTCAATTTCCAATTTACAACCATTATTAGAACTCAAGATCCTAGTAGGATGTTTTCATACATGTCCTATTTCATACCCATTTTGTGTTTTTAACTACTACAAAGATTGTAAACATCATAACTAACCTCTCTTCTCTAGAAAACTTTATGACATTCACTAATATTCACCTGCAGACAAAGTGCCCTAAACTTCTTCTGTAACATCATATACACAAATACAAAGAGTTGATCTAATCTTCTGAATCTTCTCCTACATGCAGACATAATTTCTTCTTTTTTTCAGCCATCAAAAAGAGAATTACTTGAACTACTTACAATTCAAAAAAAATATAGAAAGCAACCTTCTAACAAAACAATTAAACAGTAAAAACTACAAAGAAACTCATAAAGTATTACAAATCTATAACAAAAATGAAACTTGATTTCAGCATATGTAGCGTGCAAATAAGAATACACAGAAAATGGAAAAAATGGGTTACGGTAAATGGTTTGTCCAAGTTTAAGCATAGAGATAATCAAAAACAAACTATTTTGGTTATTTTAAAAACACATATTATTTGATAAAGAAAATATCTGCCATTAATAGTATATAATTTCCAATTTTACATTGATAATGGCCTCCATTCATGGGCAAGCTGAAGTAGGCCATTTTATGGCAATTTAAATACTCAAAGAATCAAAGTACTTGAGCTAACGGACTTACACAGAGCAAAAGTTTAAACTTAAAAAGCTTAAATTATATATTGGTTTGTTTAACCCTATTTCTTAATATTTTAGCAACAAGCATATCATTTTTGTCCTTTCTCAAATCCCTCCTCACCCGTCTCAAGGTTTAGACTCAAGACCTAAGAATCAAGCTCTTAACTGTTGGGACATTGAACGCAACAGGCATATTATTGAAAACCCTGAAGCTCAACCAAACTTCAAAATACAAAAATCAAGTTAAGTCAATCCATCTTCCATTACCAATGCACCTGAGGAATTAAGCAGTGCTAAAAATAGCAAGGAATTATACCCATAAAGTGAAAATAAGTCCAGAAACAACCTTGATAAATCTACCCCCGAAAATGCATAACCCCACCAATGGTAATCTACAGATCTACATAACTGCTTCGTTTCTCAAGATACAGCAACAAAAATGGAGACCTGAAGTGACCCAGATCCAAACATAACAAGCATCTGTACATATTCCCATTTGAAGAGTAAAAATGAAGAAAAGAAATGCTTAAAAAAGGTAAGATTAAAGTAGAAACTTACTCTTGGTAAGCAGAGAGTATGAAGATTGAGGCGAAGAGAACTCTCCCAAGAAACGAAGCGAAAGCCATAAATTTATTTTTCGGTTGTTACGACTTGGAAAATCTCGCCAACATGGAAGGAGAGGAAATCTAGGATGCATGTATGAAACAGAAAGAGAGTTTTTATGGTGGCTTACTTAGGTTAATGTTTGGTTTATAAACTTTTGTCATATTATCATTTTGGACTAGAACATTTGTTTTCTTTCAAAATCATCAAGAAATTTAAAAAAACTTTTTTTTTTCTCACAACCGTTTAACATGGGTGAAGATTCATTTATTTACAAATATTATATATTACATTTATATAAAATTTTAACTACTCATATCTTTACTTTTGATAGTTGAAATTTATTTATTCTTTATCATGTTTATTAAATATAATTATATTTTTTATCTAAAAAGTTGTAATAAATCTTTACTATTAAAATTAAAGAGATAAGGTAAAGATTTTTTATAAATATAATATGTAAAACTAGTGTATAATTGGATTCATACTTGTTTAACATATGCATCTATATAAATCTAAATGTCATGGGACCTAAAGTACTAAAGCAAGACATTATTTTATTTTTTTTTGTAGGTTAGATTTAAGATTCAAATCTTGGGGCTGCATTCATGGTATATTTAGTTTAAGGAAAACAGTGGACAAGGGAGGAAAAACTTCCATTTACCTCTTCTCATTTGGATAAGTAAAAAATTTAAGAAGAAAAAATAATGTAAATGGCTTCCCTCCCTTAAATTTTTTTTAACTAAATAGAGAATTTTTTTTTTTTTTTACAATAAAAAAGAAATTTTTTCACCTTCTACTCCTTCAAACCAAAGATTTTATTAAGCAAATTAATTCCCTAGAATGCATCAAGTCAATATAAGGGGTGTGCCCTTAAAACTGCTCAAGGAAATATTAGTTTTGTGAAAATGCTATAGTCACAATGTCACATGACATTGTAAACATACAATATAATATGTCATTATATAATTAGATTTTTTTATTCATGGATCCATATATGTTATTGTATACACCTACTTGTTTAATATTGCATTATATTTTATTAAATGCCATGAAAGATTGCAAGATTGCAAGCTTACAATTCTACGTGGCATTGTAACTATAGCTTTACCATTAGTTTTGAGATGCTTGAAAGGTAGTCCAAAGACACTTTGACTCTAATTACAAAAAAAGAAAAAAAGAGACATTATTTTACTTCTATTGCAAGAAGACTTGAATGATAACTTCTTACTTTCATAATATAAGGAGATTACTACTAAATCATCTATATTGTTGGTAAATTATCGTTGATTTATATTATAGCTATGAACAACTCAATTTACAAGGTTAAGTTTTGGTTTGATTCAGTTTAACTGCATTGAAATGTTTATTGGTTTGATTCATGACTTTTATTTTGAAATCCAACTATATTATAAATTTGGGAACTAAGTTTAATTAACCACAAAATTTTATGTTTATGAGAAATAGAATTTTATTGTTATATAAAAACCATAAGACTTATAAGACCAATTCAAGTGGGGTAATGTGCACAAGGTTTTACACTTATAATGTCACGCCCCAGAACCCAAATCTGGGGACGTGGCAAACGCCGTATAATCGTGAGACGAGTCCCACAAGTGCACAAGACTCAGAACTTATCATGTCACACTCTGATACCATCAAAATCTGAAGATCAAATCTTTAAAATTCTCTCTCATATCATAAAATCTCCAAATACAAGATCATGATTCATATCTAAAATTTATATCCAATTACAATATGGCTAGCCTTCTAACTCGTCACTTCCCGTGGTTTTCCCGTCCTCGGTTTCACTTCCTGAAATGGTGGACAAGGAAAACTATGAGATAAACTCAGTAAGTAAATATGGAGTGCCCATTATTAAACTTATAGCATGCCAACATGTGCAATCACGCAAATTGGATACAGTACAGGAACGAAATAGACGTCTCCTCTATAGGTCACGGCCAGTGTATAATCCCCACTAGCAGGGCCACGATTTGCTGGTGTATAACCCCCACTAGCTGGGTTGAACGAACTGGCTCTATCACTACATGTCGACATGTGCTAGCGTTTATAACCTCTCCCACTAGCAGGGTCACGAATAACATATCGACATGTGCCGACATGTGCTAGTGTTTATAACCTCCCCCACTAGCAGGGTCACGAATAACATGACCACATCGGAGACAAAACAGGCAGAAGTTAACAGGAAAATCACAATTCACAATCATTTTCAAGTCACTTTCAGATCATCAGGACAATCACTTAAATTTCAAGTAGGCATGCTCAATTTAGTGAAAAGCATAAAATATTTCACTTCAAATCAATCATACTTGTGTAAAACGGGTTTAGTCCCGCCACCACTTCAAAAACAAATCAAAACATGCTTTTAAAACAGTACGGGCATTACCATAAATTTACTTACCTCACTTGCATAAAACCGAGCACTCAATCTCAATGCTAACTGATAGAACGATCGAGAACCTAATCAAAATACCTCAGAATTAATACCGGACTATCACAAATTCAAACTGAAATCATCAAGATCACTCTTAATCCCAATGCTATTCCTATCAATCTTCACATGATCAAATATCTCCAAATTCGTTCCCATATCACAAACTAATCATTTAAATTCCCATTAAATGTTGGCCCTCGGGGTGTGAACAGTAACCGGTGAACAGTGTCGGTGAACAATGACCCCGACGTGAACAGTACCTCCACTTCCACAAATTGGCCAAAACACTAGCTAATCTCACGGGATTTTCTCCAAAAATCACAACAACCAACTAACACTCAATCACATAAATCTCACTTGAATTAAGCAACAAAACACACTTAAATCCCTCTTAATTGCTACCGGAATTTCCCCATTTCCTAGCCAAATTCGGACATCACAAGTGTTGGAATAGGCCCAACAGGCCCAACACCCCAAACAGGGCTGTGCATAACGGGCCTAGGTTACCACCGATTAGCCCATGCTGAAGGAGCATCAGTACAAGCATACCCACGTGACCAGCGCCACGTGGGCCAAGGGGATGCTTACACGTGCAGATGTGTGTCAGCACCAAGGGGCTATAAATACCCCCTAACTACCTCCGATGAAGGTAATTAATCTCTACGCTTCTCTCTCTACAATTACTCCTTGAGAGCATCTCTCTCTAGAAGACCGAGTATTGCTGACTTGAGCGTCGGAGTGTTTTCCCCGAGGAAACAACCTAGGGATTTTCAGGTGTAGAAGCAGCTAAGGATTTCAACAGTGTTGGATTGCGAAGCTGCCCAAACATTTGGCGCCGTCTGTGGGAACACGAACAAGGAGTCGTGTGGCTTAACTTGCTGGAAGTATGGTTCGTACCTTTACAAGAGGCCACCCCCCAAGAAATGAAATGGACGAACAGGAGGACACTCATGTATCTGAACCTGGCTTGAATGACTTTAGGCCAATGCCAAGAAATCTTTTTATAGGAGGAGCCGAACAGGATCACCTAAGTGAGACAGATGATGAAAGAACACCAACTGGGTATGCAACCTAGTCTGAACAGTTCCAAGTTCCAGCAGGAACAAGACAAAGATCTGCTAAACCGTACAATTCACGGCATGAGCGACCTGAAAGGTCAACAGAACCTGCTCGGACAACCGAGCTCGAAGAGAGAACCAGAGTTCTCGAAATGGCAATGGGTAAAATACTTGCCTGTTTAATTCCTGATGACCCCTTGATTCCTTTGCTGAACAGAGATGCACAACCGGTTGCAGTTGTTGCAACTCGAAACTCCCCCGCTCTCAGCAACATAGTAGTGCCGATCAGGCCAAGAGGAAGCAGGAAGCTGAATATCGAGCCCAGCTCGTCCAAACATAGTGAAGAACTGATGAGAAAGAACGCAAACCTTGAAAGACAGCTGCGGGACGTGCAAAAGTCTATTGACGAGCTGAAAAGTCCTAGGTCGCATCAACAGACTCTGGATTTGGATAGTGCACCACTAAACTTATCCATTACGACAGAGCCGTATCAAGAGGGATTCAAAATTCCCCACCTGGAGACATATGATGGCTCGGGTGACCCTGATGAACATCTGCACACATATCAAGCCATCATGAGAATCCAAAACGCCAACGACGCCATGATGTGCAAAGTGTTCCCAGCAACACTCAAGTCAACAGCCAGGAGATGGTATCACAAACTCCCCAGACATTCAATAGATTCATTCTCCCAGCTTGCCAAGTTATTTTCTAACAAATTTGCGAGCCAAAGGGAGATCAAGCGCACAGCAACCGAGTTGATGCAAGTTAACCAGAAGGAAGGGGAGTCTTTGAGGGATTACATGTAACGGTTCAACAAAGCCACCTTGGACATTGATAATGTCCCAGATACGATCTGCCTGTCTGCCCTGTTGCATGGGTTGAAGCATGGCCGGTTCCTAGACGACCTGCTTGAAAACCCGCTGAAGACGTGGAACGAGGTGAATGACAGGTCGGCCAGCTTCATACTGTCAGAGGACTTTCAGTCGTCCAAGCGACGAGCTGATGATAAGCGAAGCAAAGGCCAGGAACAACAACTGAGAAGAGAAGAGAAGAAGAAGCAGAAGGTAAGTGAGAAATGGGGGAAACCAGCTGAGTTCCCAAAATATGCCAATTACATTCCTTTGACCTTACCCAGGTCTCAAATCTTGGAACAAATCTAGCACTGGGTTAGGAGACCTCCACCCCCATTGCATGATTCCCCGAGGGCAGACAAGAGCAAGCATTGTAACTACCACCGTGTATATGGTCACAATACAGAATTGCCAACACTTGAAGGACGAGTTGGAGTTTTTGGCTCGTAACGGAAAGTTAGAAGGGTATGTTCAGAAGCCTCACACCCAACAACCCACTCAAACCCATTTCGTACAGGCGTACGACTGACCTCAAGGGCAGAGGTACCAGCACGGTGGGACGCAGGATGTATATCAGGATAACCAGTATCCTTCTGAGCAGGGCAGAGCATACCGAGGACGTCCGTTTAACAGGAGAGGACAGGGACTGAGAACTACCGCCCCGAATCAAAAAGATAAGAAAGAGGTAGGTTATGCTGGGATACCCCCACCCTCTGGTACCATAAACATGATATCAGGTGGTGTTCACTCTGGGGGCCAAAGCGCCCGAGGTCGCAAGGCGTATGCACGCTAGGTGATGACAGTTAACAAAAACAGGCCTTTGAAACGCCCGTTTGAAGAAGCAAAATGGGAAAATGCACCCATCACATTCAGCCTGGCAAACTATAAGCGAGCAGAAAGAGAGCCCGATGTTATGATGCCGCATGCAGATCCTTTTGTGGCAACGGTTCATATAAGCAACCATAATGTCAACAAAGTCTTTGTTGATACGGGTAGCTCGCCGGATATCCTGTATTGGAGTTGCTTTCAGAAAATGCAGTTGAATCCAAACTCACTGCAGAAACATGAGGGGCCTATATATGGGTTCGACAATCAGCTCGTCCCAGTTGAAGGAATCATTACCCTACCCATCTATGTGGGCTCGGAGCCACAGTTTAGGATGGCTTCCGTTACCTTCCTGGTTGTCAAGATGGAGTCAGCTTTCAACGCTATACTGGGAAGAGCTACCCTTTGCGAGCTGAAGGCTGTTATCTCACAACCTCATCTCTGCATGAAATTCCCAACTCCTCAGGGGGTAGGAGTGCTTAAAGGGAACCAGAAGATGGCAAGAGCATGCTACCAAGATACCCTCAAGAAGGTTGAGCTCGCTGCTGCTCCTGCAGGCTCTGAAAATCACAAACCAACCCAGCTCGCTTAGCAGACAATGAGCATTTCAGACATTGAACACCGACCTGAGGGTGTCGAGCAGAAAGCAGAACCAGTGGAGCCAATAGAAACGGTCCTCTGAACCCTGATGTGACAGAAGGAACGATTAAGATCGGCACCAAACTCACAGAGGAGGAACGGGCAGAGCTTCTGAAGTTTTTGAGGGACAACCAAGACGTGTTTGCGTGGACTACGAATGAAATGCCGGGCATCCCCGCAGAGTTGACAATCCACAAGCTAAGCACGGACCCCACCAAAAGGCCGGTGGTGCAAAAACGTCACCTTTTTGGCCCCGAGAAACAAGCTGCCATTGAAGAAGAGATACAAAAGCTGCTACAGGCAGGTTTCATCAAAAGGGTGGAGTACTCTGAGTGGGTATCTAACCCCGTGCTCGTCAAGAAGCCGAATGGCAAGTGGAGGATGTGTATTGATTTCACTAACTTAAATGAGGCGTGTCCAAAAGACCCTTATCCCTTGCCAAATGTTAAGAAGCTAGTAGAGCGGGCAGCCGGACATGAGCGGATGAGTTTCCTGGATGCAAGCTCAGGTTATCACCAGGTTCAGTTGCTGTTGGACGATCAGGAGAAAACGACTTTCTACGCTGGTGACGCGATTTACTGCTATGTGATGATGCCGTTTGGCCTGAAGAATGCTGGTGCAACATACCAGAAACTTGTACAAATCATCTTTAAGCTCCAGATCGGTAAAAACATAGAGGTATATGTGGATGACATGATAGTCACCAGTGTGCAAGCTGAAGACCCTATAGGCGACCTGAGTGAGACCTTTCAAAACTTGTGCCGAGCACAAATGAAGCTGAATCCCTTGAAATGCACATTTGCTGCAGAGTCAAGAAAATTCCTGGGATACGTGGTATCCAAGAAAGGAATTGAAGTAAATCCAGAAAAGGTTGAGGCCGTTCAGCAAATGGAGCCACCAAGGACTGTCAAAGACGTGCAGCGTTTAACTGGCCGTGTTGCTGTGTTGCACAGGTTTATAGCCAGGTCGGCAGAAAGATGTCTTCCATTCTTCAAGGCCCTGCGAGAGCCCAAGAACTTTCAATGGACCGATATGTGTCAACGGGCCTTTGACGAGCTCAAACGATACCTGGCATCAGCACCCTTGTTGTCCAAGCCTGTGGAAGGGGAGAGTTTGTATCTGTATTTAGGGGTTACAGCAGAGGCGATTAACTCGGTCTTACTCAGGGAAGAGAATAAGAACCAGAAGCCTATCTGTTATGTGAGCAAGGTCTTACAAGGCGCCGAGCAGAACTACCCACTAGCGGAAAAGGCTGCTTTTGCCTTGGTTTACACAGCTCGTAAGTTGAGAGCTTACTTCCAATCACATCAGATTGTTGTCTATACCGATTTGCCGTTGAGAAAAATACTGCAGAAACTTGAATTCTCTGGTCGGCTTATTGGGTGGAGCATCGAGCTAAGTGAATATGACCTCACATTTCAGTCGCGCACAACCATAAAAGGCCAGGCCGTTGCAGACTTTCTGGTGGAGTGTATCTCGGCGACTAAAGAGGAAAAAGCACCCGAACAACCAGTCTGGGTTTTGTATGTTGATGGAGCTGCTAACGTTGAAGGAGCGGGTGCAAGGGCTGTGCTGGTGGGCCCAAATGGTTTTAAGTTTGAGCATGCATTGAGGTTTAAGTTTCAGACAACTAACAACGCTGCAGAATATGAAGCCCTCATTTACGGATTGAAGTTGGCGTCCGAGCTGAAGGTACAAAGCATTCAGGTTTTTAGCGACTATCAGCTCGTTGTAGGCCAGGTGAAAGGCAGTTGTGAAACGAGGGATCCGCAGCTTGCTCGTTATGCTTCTGTGGTAAACAGATTAAAGTCAAGATTTACTTCCTTTCAGATCGACAAAATACCCAGGGCAGACAATCAGCGAGCTGACGAGCTGTCCAAGTTAGCCTCCTCGCAAGAGACCAACCCTCATAGGTCAACAACAGTCGAGGTACTTGATGCTCCGAGCTATACTAATTTCACACTCGAGTGTCAACTACTCAGCATAGATCCCTGTTCACCGAGCTGGACCGCCCCGCTCATAAATTATCTGCAAAGTGGCGAGTTACCTGAAGATCAGTCCGCTGCAAAATTGATTAAACGCAGGGCGGCACATTTCAATTTGTTAGACAACCGACTCTACAAACGGGCAGCCTCTATGCCCCTATTACGCTGCCTTACTCCTTACGAAGCTGAATACGCTGTGAGGGAAGTTCACGAAGAAGTATGTGGCACGCACATAGGTGGCAAAACTTTAGCTCGGAAACTCCTGAGGCATGGTTATTATTGGCCCACTATGGTCGAGGACGCGCAGAACTATGTCAAAAAATGTCCAACCTGCCAGTTCAATGCTGACGATATACACATGCCAAGTATCTGAGCTTGTTCTAAAGATCATGCAAACTTCCTGTTTGTCTACAAACTTAGCATAAATATCTTCCTTGAAACAGGGAAAATGTTATCATCTCTCACGTCTCCCTGACCCTTTGCTCAATGGGGTGTCGACCTGCTCGGCCCCTTCACCAAAGGCAAAGGAGGCTGCACTTTCCTAGTCGTTGCAGTGGATTACTTCACTAAGTGGATAGAAGCTAAACCATTGTCCACGACAACAGAAAGGAAAATAGAAGAATTCTTGTTCAATTCAATATTGTGCAGGTATTCTTTGGTGACTTAGGTCATAAACTGTATGTGTAGCTCAGCTCAGTTATCTGTATGCAGGTTCGGCATACCTAAGCGGATTATCGCTGACAATGGGCCACAGTTCCGAGCAGTAGCGCTGAGATCGTTTTGTAACGACTATGGCATTGAGCTCGCCTTGACATCGATATATACTCCCCAGTCTAACGGACAAGCCGAGTCCGCCAATAAAATCGTCTTGCGAGGCCTCAAGACACGTGTTTTAGCTGCACATTCGAATTGGGTCGATGAGCTAAATAAAGTCCTCTGGTCTTGTCGTACTACACCCAGCTCGGCCATGGGCAAAACTCCTTTCAGCTTGGCCTATGGAGCTGAGGCCGTCATCCCAGTAGAGGTTGGATTGCCATCTGATCGAGCAGGCTGGCATGACGATCTCAACAACGAGCAACTGTTGAGAGAAAACCTAGACTTCGTGGAAGAGGTCAGGGAGATGTCTAGAATAAGAAACATGGCGCATCAAAGTCGTGTTGCAAAATTTTATAATACGCGAGTTCGAGGTCGTCAATTTCAGGTTGGCGATCTGGTTCTACGCAAGGCTGGATTAACCAACACTTATTCATGCATGGGCAAGCTCGCACCTAATTGGGAGGGCCCATATATGGTTGTTCGAGTTAAGCGGCCTGGCTCTTACGTGTTAGCGGATATACACGGGCGTCAGTTACCTTACCTTTGGAACGTACAGAATCTTAGAAAGTTTTACAGTTAACGTGTGTATTATTATTTTGCTTCAGGTGTTGTCCAATAGTTGTAAACAAAGATATATAGAAAATGCAACAAAAGTTCAAAGGAAAATTCATTTTTGTATTTCATCAATGATATTACATTACAAGTACATATGATTTGAATCTATTGATCAAATACAAAAATGCCAAACCAAAAATACAAAAGAATGGCACAAAAACTCCTAAGACTAGTCATCCGTCAAATCGACGGGCATGGACGCGTCAGCTGCAGGCGGAGTAGAGCGAGCTGGAGGTGAGCGAGCAGCGGGCTCGGGAGCTGGCGCATTGACAGGAGAGCTCGCCGGTACCATGGTGGGCTGAGAGCTGGGTGGAGTGCTTGAGGGCTCCTGCTCAGCTACAGGAGCACCCTCCACCCATGCGTCAAATACGGGCAGCCCTGCTGGATGTTCCCCGTCCTCCAGCACGGACGACGGCCAGACAGGCACGCCCTTCTCGTTTAAATCCCATCTCAGCCTCATAGTTGTGTCAGCAAGGGGAGCAAGGCTCTTACCCTGTTCGTCAAGCTCCTCCTCGTCAAAGAACACCAGCTCGCGGATTGAAAAATTTGGGCGATGGTGCAGCACCTTCCCACGAATCTCGTAGTAGATCTCCGTGGTTACGTTTGCAGACGCCACCGCCACGGCGTCTTGGAACGTGGACGAGCCGACCAGCCATTCCGCTCCTTGGGCTCGGGCAGTACCAACAGAGCGCGCATGAGATGCCTTCAATTCGTTCAGCGCCTCTTCGGTAGCGCTGAGGTTCTTATCAGCCTCAGCGACCTGGAACCTCAGGGAACCCAGCTCGGTCTAAGCACGATCCCTCTCGTCCTCAGCCCTCTTAGCCCGCTCTTCAACCCGAGAGGCCTCATCCCTTGCCGCTTGAATCCCACTTTCTCTCTTGGCACGGGCTCGCTCTAGCTCCTCCTTGAGCTCATTGATCCTATTCGCGAGCTCGTCCGCCTGGCTCTCTGTAGCCGCAACTTGGTTCGCCATTTCAGAACCTTGCAGACGATTCACATCGTCCACAAGGCTAGCCTTCTCCGTGGCCAGCTGTTTGCACTTGGAGCTGAGCTCGCGGTTCTCTGTATGAGCCCCCTGCTCGCTCTCATACAGTGCTACTGCGTAGCTGAACGCCTGCCAAACAGTGGTTACTATTAGTCTCTAAAAAGGAAAAGCAAAACATTCAAGCAGGTACGAGCAGATACTTACATCCATCAGTTTTATCATGGCGACCTGCCCGCCATGCTGTTGCACGAAAGCTTTTGCCCGCTTACTATCCATGGGGGGCACAAAGCTGTGCATGCCTTGCACCATGGTGGGCTGGCATTCCGCCCACACATAGCTGAAGCCCTTAGGATAAGCAATCCTGGGGCCAGACATTGAGGCCGATGCAGTGGCGGGCTCTATGGCTGCTTGCGCAGTCGCTGACGGTGCGTTGGGTGAAAGCACAGTTGCAGGACGAGCTGCCTGCGCGGGCTGAGTCCCCCCGCTTGTTCTGCGCCGAGAGAGGGGGACCTCATCCTCTTCGCTCTCCGTCCCCTCACGTGCACGCCTACGTGCACTGGGAGCTGCCGCCTCGACCCTATGCTCAGCCCGCGGCCTAGATGCTGAGCTGGATCCTTGATGGGACGAGATGCATGATTGAGGCGCTGCAGGCGGCCGCTCGTCGAACCACGTTTGCCTATGCGAGGTGCTGCTCGCCCCACGGCCTCGTGAGCTCTGGGCTCGCTAATGCTGGCGTTCCAGTATGCCGCTCATTTCACCTGCACAAACAAATACATAAGCCTCAGCTCGGCTAAAATCCTTGATATATGATAAAAATATACCTTCACTGAACAGGTTGTCACATCGACAAACTCGAACACGGCGAGATGCTCCGAGGTAACTAGGGCTTCTAGATCTATTAGACTCTCCCTCTGCGCATACTCAAGCAGCTGGTTCTTCAGATCGACATCTCGGGGCAGCAGCTGAGGGTAGTTGATGTGGGCATTTGGGGTGCGCCATTCCAATAGCTGGGCAGCGAGGTCGTTGCTTATCCTTTCTGCTCGCATGTCGCGAACGAAAATAAACTGTCTCTTCCACCTCGCCACCTTGTTCCTCACATTTCTGAAGAGCTGGCTCTTCTCCCTCCAAGAGAGATAGTACCACTTGGCACCTTTGGAATTCGGGCACAGCCGACACTGGAACAGCGACCTGAATACTATCGCTTTGGCTGGTACCTCCAATCTCGCGCACAACAGCATAAAGCCTATGATGAACCTTATGCTGTTGGGCATTAGCTACGTCAACGCCAGCTTGTAATCCGCGAGCAGATCGAATATCAGTCTGGGCAAGGGAAACCGCAGGCCGACGTCAAAGTGGTCCATGTACACTGGTATCCAGCCCGTTTGCGACACTGTGCACGCCCTTTCGTTCTGCCCGCCAGTCCGTAGCAGTATGGTTTTGGGGATGTGGTACGCCCTCACCATCTCCTCGAGCCTTTTATACCCACTTATGGAGGGCGCACAATCTGCTACTTCGTGATGAAGTGCAGCCTTGAACTTGAATCCAGCGGGCAGGTCCTTTGGTGCTTTTCGTAGGTTACTCAACCTGCTTGGGATTGTCACACCTTCCCATTCCCCAACCACCAGCCGATCCGAGACACTGCTCACCACATCCCCCATCCCTTCTTCACGGCTGGGCGTCTCTTCAGTGGACGAACTGCTAGACGACGCAGTGGGATGGTCGCTGCCGTCATCCCTAGCGTTCGAACTGGCATTTCCCTCAGGCGCCATTGTTTCCAGCGAGTCCTGCAACTCGGGCGGCACTATCATCGTGATAGGCTCCACTGATAAAATCGCTTCCTCTTCCCCCATCTCTGCCTTGGTTACCTCGTAGCTCTGATATTTCTCTCAACGAAACCATTTTACCTGAAAATGACGTGAAGCTGGTTCGATGTTCTGTTCTTCAAGATCAAAGTTGCCTCGCTTCAGAGAGTTTAAGAAGGTTTCAAGCAAACGCAAAAGTGAAAATGGAAAAAGAAACGGTTACGCAAAGGGAAATATGCCAGTCTTAATGGCTGTACGCGTGTCTCTGACGCGCCAATTCGCGTCCTACACGTGGCACACGCTTAACGTCCCTTCTACATAACGTGCGCCGGCTTTAGCTGTCACGTCCCTCAAATGCTGAGCCAGCATTTATGACGGGGAAGATAGAGGGATACGGGGAGATTAACCGTATCTCCTCAAAGATTTGGTGGATTTTCAAAATCCACAAGATTCAGATCGTAACGGTTGATATGTAGCCTATCCCGTCACATCAGCTCGCCGTTGCAAGCACACTTACCAGGTCGTCACAAATATGACATATTTGCCAGGTCGGCTTACCCGTGACAATTCGTTTACAATTGTAGATCGTTTACTCAAATCTCCCAAAGATTCAGCTCGTCACAGACCAAGGTGTACCTGAGATCGCCCTATTTAATAGCACTACCCGTGTTGCCTCCAAAATTTTAGCTCGCTATCATGGCAAAAGAGCATCATCTGGTCGCACTCCGGAAATAATCAAGGGTCAGGTCGCCACACGCCTTCCAACGGTCACATTAATACGGACGAGCTCGCTAGAAATGGCGTTATGTACATGGCCGCTCCCTATGCGAGCTCATCTATGGTGAACCATTTCAGCTCGCCACCATAACAAGCCCACACTAGTTCGGCTAAGGATATCAGCTCGCCTCCACGCTCTCAGGTTCGCGAGCTCACCCCTTTTTGTATTACCTTTCAGCTCGGCCATCGACAAGGTTGGCCATAAGCTGTTAAAGCTGTCCGTCATAGTCACCAGCTAGAACGTTGACCCACGGTCACATCCATCCCAGTTCGTCAATCGAACACCAGGGGGGGGGAGTAATGTTGGAATAGGCCCAACAGGCCCAACACCCCAAACAGGGCTGTGCATAACGGGCCTAGGTTACCACCGATTAGCCCATGCTGAAGGAGCATCAGTACAAGCATACCCACGTGACTAGCGTCACGTGGGCCAAGGGGATGCTTACACGTGCAGATGTGTGTCAGCACCAAGGGGCTATAAATACCCCCCAACTACCTCCGATGAAGGTAATTAATCTCTACGCTTCTCTCTCTGCAATTACTCCTTGAGAGCATCTCTCTCTAGAAGACCGAGTATTGCTGACTTGAGCGTCGGAGTGTTTTTCCCGAGGAAACAACCTCGGGATTTTCAGGTGTAGAAGCAGCTAAGGATTTCGACAGTGTTGGATTGCGAAGCTGCCCAAACAACAATCAGCAACTTTAAATGGATAATTTAAGCCTTAAAAGGCTGTCACATACCAGAATTTACAAGCAAGGAACCGGAGCTAGCAGATTGGGGAAGGCCGGCGGGATCTGCAGGGGGAAGCTCACGGAACTACCCAAAATTGGAGGAACAAGAGCAATTAAGGTAAACCCAAGGTAATTCAAGTGAGAAAAGAGGATTTAGGGGCTGTTTCTTACCAGAAAATCAAAGCAATTCACCCCCATAACAAGAGCAGCCGGCGGAAGGACAGAGCAAAGTAGGGCAGATCCGGATTTTCCAGCAGGGGGGGAAAGATTTATGGGTTCTAGGTGTGTTCTAGAGCAAGAAAGGAAGGAGAAAACCAAGCTTATCTCACCAGTTTCTCAAAGGCATGACTGGGTTCCCCTTTCTTTTTCTTTCGAGTGGCTACAGCGGGAAGAAAGGAAGGAAGAGCAGAATCGGGCAAGGCTGGGAAGAAAAGAAAGAAAGAAAAAGAAAAAGAAAAGAAGTCATCCTTATCCAAAATCTTTCCCTCTTTAAGTCCCTCAACTTTTGAAATATTCACATTAGGCCCCAAAACAATCTTTTCTCACAATCAAGTCCTTAACTTACACTTAAATATTCCCGAAAATTTGGGATATTACATATAAAATGCTTCAAAATGCAAAATCAAATAATCTTTTTTTTTTTTTGGTGGTGGTGGAGCGTGGATGCACGCACAAATCAAATAATCTATTGCTTACATGGAAATTGCAACTAAATCTAAACTTGAGATTTAGTAGTTAAGCCATATTCCAACATAATCCATTTAAACAAAATATAAATTGATTAGGGTAGAAAAATTTAGCTAAGAACCTCGTCCCCAACCATGCCTTTAATAATTGAATTAAACACGATAACTGGTCTGAGTCCAACCAAAATCATGTTTTAGTTGTCATCTTCCTTCAATGAAATCAAATCTTGATAAAAAAAAAAATATTGAGAAACCCAAGGTAGAAAGTTAAAAAAAAAGAGGGAGAACCGTCCACTAAAGAGAGAAGAAAGAACTCCCACCTTTTAACTATCCACTCGATCTTAACCGCCAAGGAGAAGAGAGGTAACAATGGCTAGGGATGGTAATTTCCTCTATGATCTACGAAACTTCGTGGGGATCCTAGTTGTGGGGATTGAAATTCTCAAAATATTTCTCTCAGTGGAATGGGAATGGAGGTGATTTTTCCCTTGCAAAATTTCCTCTACCTTGCAAATCCCCATGGGGAACCATAAATTAATAAAGAATTATAAATTATATTTTTCTAAATTATAATAAACCTAAATATCTCAATTTTCAAACCCACAAATGCTAACTACAAACACTTTGACTCTCACATCTCCTCTCTAGTATCTTATTTCCTCTTGACTTCACCTCTTTATTTAATGGATTTCTCCAAATTTGCATTTAATTTACTTTATTTCTTTATTTACTTTTTAGACAAAGCTTATTTTATTTTGTTTTGTTTTATAATTATTTATCAAAAATGTTTTTGAATTTTTTTTTGTGCTAAGAATTAAATGAATTAAAGTATTTTTTTGTATATAACCATACAAAAACTATTTTTGTGTATTTTTTTGAGGATCTCTCATTCCCACTAGGATGGGGATATGGGCAATTTTTACCTTTTGTTAAAAATTCCTGTGGAATCCTTTTATCTTTCAATAATGAGGATAGGGATGAGGAACGGGTTTGTGAACTGGTGAGAACTTGTTGCCATCCCAATGGTGGCTAGAGGAATAAGATAGCCAGAAGAAGAGGAGAAAATCATGGTGAGAGAAGGGAGGAAGCAGCTAAGGTTTTTTGTTTTGAAGACTTTTAAATTAATTAACCAAAAACTTGAGTTAACATGGTTCAATTAATCGAATTAACTGAATTCATATTATTTGTAAAAATTTTAAGAAAAATTCCAATTTTTGAGTTAAATTATTTCAGTTGATTTGAGTAATCAATTTAATTAAATTTCTATTTTTTAGTTAGTTTGATTAATTTAGATTTCATTTTATATGATTGTAATTTTGAGTTTTTAATTTTGATTTTAAAAAATTTAAATGTTTCAAAATAAAATAAAAAATTTAATAAATTAATTAAGTTTGAAATTTGAAGTATTAATTTTTAAAATTTAGACTAAATAAGTTGTCATCTTTAATTTTTTTATTAATTTTGATTATTTAAATTAAAAAAAGCCAAAATCATACAAAACTGAATCTAATCAACCAATTTTTTACTCTTATTCAAAATAAATTTGGTTTAAATATCGTTTTAACCTAATCAACCAATTAATCCAACTAAAATTTAAAATTTTGGTCTAGTAATTCGATTTCGGGTTAATTTGCTTTCTGACTGAAAATGCCAAATTCTAATTTAATTAAAAGTACGTTTTTGAAGATTTTTATAAGAAGAGGGATTTTATTTATATATAATTTATATATAATTTGTATATATTATGTTTATATAAAATTTTAAATATTTATTTTTTTATTTTTA